CATTATGCCATTGAGAAAGTGGTTGACAGTATATGCTCTTCGTAAACTGGTTTAAATGTTCGGCCTCTTCAACATTTATTTATTCAATGCTCGTTATGTTGAAAAAATTTGGCAGCGATGGACCTTCAGAGAGAGTAAAACACGGATTTAGCCTTAAGAAGTTTATAGTTTAATGAACTGTGACAACTTTCTAAAAATAAAAAAAAAAGGAAAGTGTGTAATAATATCAAGTGTTGTTGAAAATATGGAGCAACACAAGCTTTCCGCACTCAGGAAGGAGTGATCAGGGGTAGGAATGGTTTGTCATTGCCTGCCGAAGCTGAAGCCGCACGCGACCTGTGACCCTGGGCAGAGTCTTCATCAGCCTTCACAGTGCCTTCACAATGCTTTGTCAGCATTGTTTTTTTAACCCCTCCTGCTCAATGGAAAGCTTTAGGTTAAATGAAAAAAATGATCACATATACCAAAACACACCTTTTTTAAACTCCCGAAACAGCATCAAAACCATCCTGAAGCGAATACCATAAGACCCTGAGGTTCTCGCTCAGCGGCCCTCCTCCCGGGTCCAGCGGTCTGGCAGAGCGGAAGCCCACTTAGGGCGCCTGCCCACTGCCGGCACCAGGCGGCTGCCAGTCCTCAGGAGAGTGTGTGGTCCCATTAGACAGCGTTTGTTGGCACATCTGCCCGGTGCCCTGGGTTCTTAGGCTGAGATTGTGGACTGGCTGATAGAGCCTTGAATTGTAACTGTCACTTCTTTTATTCCTGCGAGACGGGGGTGGGGTGGGGTGGGGTGGAGGAGTAGGTGGAGCCCTAGATTAGGTTGAGTAGACAATGCAAGTTCCTGACAAGGCGTGTGACGTCTTTTGGGAGACGTGGGAGGCTGGCCGTGGGGAGACCAGGTATATTATTTTACTCTTTAGGCAGATAAGCTCTCCCTCCTCCCCCGGATCCAGACTGTACAAGTTCATATTCCAGCCTTCCTTGGGCGGGGGTGGTGGGGGAGCTGATGGACAGCAAAGAAAAAGTGTGGTCCTTTCCTCTTGGCCTCAAGGGCTTTCCCAGTGTTATTGGAGGTGCACATCCTGTCACATGCTCCCTGGAAAATTAAGGCTAGGCAAAGCGCTAAGATCCGTCTTAGAGAGCCAAGCCCTGTGCCTGTGTGAGTGGGTCACGACTCCATGAGAAAAATGATCAGGCAGCTGAGGCTAAAAAAGAGTGGATTTCTAAAGCCCCGTGTTGTTTATCCATTCTACAAGCACTTTTTACGCCGTTTTGTGCTGGGTACTGCTAGGTGCGGTGGACACAGAATCGTATGAGATGGGCTTTGCCCTGTAAGGAGCTCCATGCTTCAGTGCGTTGTGGAGCCTCCCGTGGTATGCTCGAAGAAAAGCAGCTGTGAGAAGTGTGGGGAGACAAAGGAGGGAGAGCCTGATTACCTGCTGGGGTGGGCGTGTTCTTCCCACTGTGGCCCTTTAGTTTGGGCAAAGCTTTGTCATTGAATCTCTGTTCTTTGTAGTTCTATATTAAACCATTTACAGTCAAATGCTCTGTCTTTCATTATATTGAGCCTACGCGGAATAAATGTTTTTCTTACGGGGTAGGAGCCTGTGTAGTTCACTAAGACGGAGTAAGGCTGAAGCTTGTCTGTCCAATATTCGGTTGGGTAGTTCGTCACAACAGAAGAGGGAAAAAAATAGGTCAGAAAATATCTAAGAAATACAGCCCTAAAATAGCCAAAATTTGAATTGTCACGTCTGAGGACTTAGAATCTAAATCTTAGATGGTAATTGGAAATAACTTTTGAAATTAGTTCACTTTTTTGATAACTGAATGGTGATGGTTTTGAAAAATCTTGAATTTCTGCTCTTCACACATTTGCTGAGCATCTCTATGTGGCAGGCATTGTGCCGACACACAGTCACGAAGATGAAAAAGTACCTCTTGCTCATTATCTTGCGGACATAGGCAATTTCAGCCCAATAATGTGATGGCGGAAGCCATCACAAAATGCTGCAGGAATCTAGGGGAAGGAGCATTTAAGGCATATCAAGGAACTGCTAGGACCTCAGATCACTGCCCTTTTCGCCCAAGGTTCATTTTGTATATTCTCTTTAATTTGTCCTTCCTGCCTCCCCCAGGTTACCAAGTGACAGGGGTGTTTATGAAGAACTGGGACTCACTGGACGAACATGGAGTTTGCACAGCTGACAAGGACTGCGAAGATGCTTACAGAGTTTGCCAAATCTTGGACATCCCTTTCCACCAGGTGTCCTATGTGAAGGAGTATTGGAACGATGTGTTCAGGTGAGAACCGTTCACGGATGCAGAGCCTTCCCATGCGCTGCGGGTCCTTCCAGTCCCATCGTGGTCCATCCGACTGACTTGTGCCACCTGTGCTCTTCAGCGGCGATACCAAAGAACGTGAGTGGGAGGCCTCAGCCACCCTCGAGGGGCTCTGTGTGAGAGGCCAGGCCTGGATCCCACAGCACCCCAAGCTCTTATTCCTGTTATTTTGCCACCTTCCAGAAGGTCTCTTTAATGCTTCTTGAACCTTGAGATGTTTCTGCTGCCGAATTAGAGTAGGGGAGCTAAGGCCGCGGTCTCCCCTGGAAGGTGCCGTGAGGGGAGTGGCCACACCCGTGCAGCTCAGTGATTGGGGGGTTCTGAGAAAAAGAGTTAAGTGATCCACTCCCCCGTGCCTTTTGAAATCAAGGAAAAAAAAAAAAAAACCCCCAAAAAAAAAACTTTAAAAATCTAATATAACCCTAACAGTTATTATGGCTCCCTCTGTCCTAGGCACTGTGCTGCCTTTGGAAACAAAACGATGTATAAACCATGGTCCCATTCTGTAGGAATTTGTAATCTAGTTGGGAAGAGGACATTATTTTCAGAGAACGTAATGGTGGCGAGTGGCATGAAGTCTATTAAAATGCTGCAGTTCAGAGGGGGGAGAAATGTGTCGCGTGGAGTGCTCAGGGAGACCTCATGAGGAGCTGGGGTTTGACTTGCCCTTGAAAGTCACAGGGACTAGAGACATTCCACATGGGGTCGCAAGAGCAGTGGGGGAGACAGGGAGGAGTACCCATCCTTTATTTTGTGATCGTCGAAATCGTTGGCGGGACCCTCGTTGCTGCAGAGGGAGGATGCTGAGGGCTGGAGCGTGGAGAGCCCTGAGTGGGCTGCGTGCCTCGGGTGGCCAGTGGAGGC